TTCTTTGTTTCAGACAAGATCCATCTGACACCAGCAATGATATTCCTTATCCCACATCCTTTTCTGAATCCAGCTTGAATTTGTGGCAATTCCCCATTGATATACTGCTGAAACCATTTTTTAATTATTTCCAGCAAAATTTTACTTGCATGTGATATTGATAATATTGTTTGATAATTTCCTCATTCTGTTGGATAACTTTTCTTTGGAATTGGCTCAAATATCTCTTCTAGTCAATTGGCCAAGTAGCCATGCTCCAACTTTCTTGGTATAGATGAGTGAGTACTTCCAGTGTTGCATTCGTTCATTGAAACAGTTCCATGGGTATTCTATCAATTCCTGGAGCTTTGTTTTTCACCAGTTCCTTCAGTGTAGCTTGGACTTCTTCCTTCAGTACCATTGGTTCTTGATCATGTGCCATCTCCTGAAATGGTTGAATGTTGACCAATTCTTTTTTTGGCATGGTCACTCTGTGTATTCCTTCCATTTTCTTTTGTTATTTCCTGCATCATTCAATATTTTGCCCATAAAAAAATCATTTAATATTGCAACTCAAGGCTTGAATTTTTTCTGCAGGTCATTCAACTTTGGTTTTCTTCATCTTTGGCTTTTATTGGTGAGTAAACATTTGAATAATAGGAGTATTAGCTGGTCTTCTTTGTGGGCATATGGATGTTATTCTACCACTGATAGCACTGTATTTGAGCATGTGGCTTGCAATGTTCTTTTTTTACAATGAATGTAATGTCATTCCTCTTTAAATTGTCATTCCCAGCATAATACATCATATGATTGTCCAATTCAAAATACCCAACACCAATCCCTTTCAACTCACTAATCCCTTGTGCATCAATCTTTATGTGTTGCATTTCATTTTGACAACTCCAATTTTCCTACATTAATACTTTGTACATTCCATGTTCAAATGAATGTTTGCAGCTGTTTCTTCTCATTTTGAGGTGTGCCACTAAGCAAATGAGGGTCCCAGAAGCTTTACTCCCTCCACTCCATTAAAGTTCACTTTACTTTGAGAAGGCAGTTTTCACACAGTTGTGTTTTGAGTGCCTTCCAACTTAAAGGGCTCATGTTCCGGCACTATATCAGATAATTTTCACAGCTATTCCTAAGGTTTTCTACAACTAATATTTTGAGACATGGACTACCTCTTTCTTCTTCCTACGTTGTCTTATTCTGGAAGCTCAGCTGAAAC